TTCTGTGGCCGTTTCTTGATTTTTTATTCACTGTCTACCTGGCACCTCTGCTTCGTATCTGAACACAACGGCCACAAAATTTGATCGTAGAACGTGGTTTTAGCGAATTCGGAATGCGATGATAGTTTATATACAAGAATTTATTAGATATAATTTTGTGAAATATTGTGATACGATTTTCTTTTAACGCCAATGAATAGCTTGAATTTTGCTTCGAATTCCTGCAGCTGGCTTATTGTCCTTCTTTCTCTTCAGCTTCCTCATTCTTTGCCATGAGATCAACAGCCATGTTCATCGCACCCATTTTCTTTAGAACCTCGTCATCAGTTGTAGGGGTGTTACTCTTTTTTGGCACAAGTTCACCATCAGCGGGCTGAATTTGCGTTTCCACCTGCGTTTTCAAGTAGTCGTCGAATTTCATCATCATCTGAAAGATGCGATTTAGACCACCACTTAGCAGGCTCGATATGGCATGACAGACCTCAGCATCCTCTTCACGCTGCTTCCTACGTCGCTCTTCTCTTTCTTTTTTTAATCGTTTAGCTTTCTGAAAACTATGTACTCTGTTCACCTTCATTGCTTCTCTGACCATTCTCAGTGCAACCAACCTCTCTTTCTGCAGCCCTTTTTCTGCGTTTTTCTTTCTTCCTTTCTTCCTCTTCTTTTTCAAGTTGTGCTGCTAGTGCGAGTTTCTTCTTGTGCTCTCTTTGTTGTATGAACATAATTGAACCCGCCACAAGTATCGCCATGAGTATAAACAGGATGGCTGACACAATAATTATGATAGGCATATAGTCGCCATGGTCTTCTTTCTTGCTTTGAACTCTGTATCCGGTAGTTTTTGAAAGGTTAGTGTTCGATAAAGAAGCAAACAACGCTGAGTATTTCATAATTTTATTTTTTTATTAGGGGACCAGTTCAGTCTCACCATTGGGATCCACTGCATAAGACCTCCAGATTTAGCTTTTGGTTAGGAAGGGATCGTAGCGAGAAGGTAAGGGTTCTGCTGCGGTTTGAACGCGGGCGGGTAAAGAGCAACACCTGAATGAGCATCGAGAGCAGGGTCAACCGTTCGTTCGCACTATTCGAACGAAGGGTCGCAATGGTGGTTGGTTTTGGGGAGGAGGGTCGCATTCAGAGGTTGAATGAGGCGATTTAGATTGAAGAGTTGGCGCACAGGGTGAGGTAGGGTAGGTGGGAGTAGAAAAAGTTTGCCGCCGTTTCATGATGTACCCCCCCCCCCTCGCTCTACGCTCGTTTTGTAGAGAAAAAGTGGGCGGAGGCGGGGTAGAAAGAATCGTGGTCGTATTGGGGTGAGCCTCCTGAACCTCATGGTGGTTGTGGGGAGTCGCATCGAGACCCCGCAACAGGAGGGGGTCGTGAATTTTTTGAAACCTGATCGAGAGGAGTAATCACGTGTTACTGCTCAGGCGTGAGAGCGTAGGCAAAAGCAGTTCGAATGGCTCGGACTATGAATCGGCTAAGGTAAGGAGAACAATTTTGCACGCGGTTTTTCATGAAACCTTTTTCTTTCAGTGTAATTCGAACAGCTGCCCTCAGAGGGACGTACGCACCTCATGAACCCCTACAACACGATAGCAAAACCGCTAGGCAAAATTTGAAGTACACGGCGTTCTGAGATCATTTTGTTCTGATTGAATCTAACTCACTTTTGCTCCCTTCGTATTCGAACGCTAAAGCATTTGCTGCCATTGTGGAGAGAAGACCTGCAAGTTCCGAGCCTTAGCTAGAAGTAATTGTGACATGGGATGCGCTATTGTACAATGCGGAAAGCAAGATTTATCAGAGTTTGGGTCAGGATAGCGGCGGCCTTGTGAGTGGCGGCATAGCAAGCCATAGCCCGTGGCGTGGTCCCGTTGCTGCAGCACAGTCTTTATTTCTTCACAATCGACTGTTTTTTAAGGCGATATTTCTATTGCCATGATAGCGGAACGACGAACTCGAAAAATATTTCATTTCCGCCCGCTTATTCACTTCCCCGGTTTATTTTATCGTTTCACGAGTGAAAAAACCGATGCTGCTTGTGAGGGACATGACCCAGAGCATAGACTGGTCAAGATTGGCTCGGAAGATTGGCTCACCCAGGAAATGCCGTCTTTACAGATAAATAGAAAAGTAAGCACAATTCAGTTAGATTCTGGTCAGATCGGATTCGTTCCAATAATCCCTCCAGTCGCGCAATTTGTTCAAAAATGAGAAAGAAATGAGAGGAGTAAATGGGTCAGGTTAAGAGCGATGATGAGTTCCGGGATTCTTCATCGCCAGGCAAATGATGAAGAAGTATCGAGAGAAAGTGCCACGCCTGGCTCCCTAGCTTTGGGACAAAAGGCGTTCGACCGTCTACCGAAAACGGTAGTATGGACAGCTCTCAGGGAACGTGACCTTCCAGAAACGTGATCTCTCGGGAAGGTATGTAGATTGGGCTAGGGCACCTCACACAGCCAACGACACTACGGTCGGGGTGCGCCAAAGATCAGCGCTTAGCTCCTCTTCCCTCCGCAACACTAAATGTCCTGGTGAAGGAGCTCGTGGAGGGGTCACCGAAGAGCATCCTCTGCGCTGGCGCTGCATCCATTGCCACGATAGCGGATAGCAGAGGAGAACTCCAAGGAAAAGGTGCCAGAAATGGCAGGACATGCTGGCAAAAGGTGAGCTCCGGCTGTATGTCAAGAGTGCCAAGTTCATGAGTTTTAAAACAGAGCAGAGCCAGTCGTGGACGATTATGAGGAAACATCGAGAGAGTGAAGAACTTCCACTACCTTGAGAGTGATCTAGCCGCCGACGCTAGTGTGGAGCAGGGGCCGTAAGGTATGCTTCCCCGAAGGGTTAGGGGACGAAAGTTCCTTTAAATTTTCTCTGTAGTCCCAACTGGGATTGTCCTGATAAAGGGCCTACATCTAATATATGTGTAGCTTAAAGTAAGCATGCATTGAAAATAAAGAAACAGTATCGTTCAAAACAAAAAATTTAAAGGGACTTTCGTCCCCGCAACCATTCGGGGAAGCATACCTTACGGCCCCAGGCAGTGAAGGCAAGGATCAACGCGGCATGGATGAAATGGAGGGAGTCCACTGGAATCCTCTGCGACCGAAGGTGCTCCAGAACGCTCAAAGGGAAGTGGTAAGGCCTGCGATGCTATACGGCAGCGAGTGCTGGCCCCTGAACAAGAATCACGAAAGGCAGCTTCACTCCGCCGAATGAGGATGCTGAGATGGGTTCTGCGGGGCACGACTGGACAGGGTCAGAAACGAGGATGTCAGCTCGGTGCTGCAGCCTTATGCTGCAGAAGCTACGGACAACGCCTAGGATGGTATGGACACGTTCTACCGAGGCCACAAGATTCACCCGGGTCACCTCGAAGTCCGGTACTGTCGTTATGGGTCATAACAACAGCACCGGACTTCGAGGTGACCCAGGTGAAGCCGCGATCACGGCAGAAGATGCTCTGGACACAGCAAAGCGGCGGCGGGTGATAGAGATAGCGGACACTGCGACTGCGTAAGACTAAAGCTAGAAGAAGAAGAAGAGTCCGGAGATGCTGCTGATATCACGAGCACCTTTTAATCACCACCAATTTCAAACTCCTGAAGCTCGTCAGAGCGCAGTCACGCATGGAAATCTTGGCCTGAGAGTGTAGAACACGTCCAGGTGCCATATCAGAGTGCGTAGATATTTCGGCGGCAAGGCATTCGAAACCGCAGAGAACATGTCCTCAATTAAAAAATGGGACTAGGCCTCACGAGAGGGAGAGGATATCCCAAGGTGCGTAAGCCGTTTGCATCTCCCTGGGCTGCTGTTTCCTCCTGAGGTTATGGAGTGTTCATAGTTGGCGATTAGGCGATTAGGCGATTAGTCTAAATGAAAAATATACGTATAGATTAGGCGAGTAGGCGAGTAGGCGAGTAGGCGATTAGGCGATTAGGCGATTTGCACACGGCGCACTCCTTAGTCGTCAAAATTGAGGCGCACATGCATATTAGCTTCTCACCCATACACTAGACTACTAGTTGGTAAAAGCAGATCTTGTCAAAGTGTTGCATACAATCCACGTATAACTAG